ATGGTGGCTTCTGGCATTGTACTACCTTGAGCTTGCCTGTTTGATTCAATCTTTTTCTGTCCACAAGTCTTTGTTCTCAACAGTTTTTATCTGATTACGTACAGGCGGATGTCAGATGGCCTTTTCCTGCAAAAATGCAGGGAGGTGGCCGAGAACTGTAAAGACATTAAGTTCAATGAGATGTACCTGGACACAGTGTGTCTGAACGTGAGTATCTTCGCTCACCCGCACCTGCCGCCCCGGTGAGTGGGGCACCCTCTGCAGGATCACTACATGCACAGCTTGTGTTTCTCACAGATGGTACAAGACCCGTCCCAGTTTGATGTCCTGGTCATGCCGAATTTGTATGGAGATATCCTTAGGTGAGCCTCACTGCAAGTTGACTTACAGTTGGCGTCAGATGAACGAGGCCCTCACATTTTCACTGCGGCAGCATAAAACCATAGTATCTTTTCTTTTTTAATATTTATTTATTTTTATTGCAAAGTCAGATATATAGAGAGGAGGAGAGACAGAGAAGATCTTCTATCCGATGATTCACTCAGCTGGTGCTGCACCAGTCCAAAGCTAGGAGGCCGGAGCCTCTTCCGGGTTTCCCGCGTGGGTGCGGGTCTTAAGGCTTTGGGTCGTCTTCAGCTGCTTTCCCAGGCCACAAGCAGGGAGCTGGATGGGAAGCGGGGCCACTGGGATTAGAACTGGCAACCATATAGGATCCCAGCGCATGCAAGGCGAGGACTTTAGTCTTTAGGCCAACGTGCTGGGCCCCATAGCATCTGGTTTAAGATGGCCAGGCAGCATCTGAGCCTGCGTTCTGTTGTGGTACAGAGCATGCAGGCTGTGTGCTTCTCAAGAGGAGAAGCTTGTCCTGGCTCCTTGTTAGCAGTGGGGGAGCTCGAGCGTGTGGCGGCTCCAGCTTCTGCGTGGCTTCTCATGGGAGCTTTGGAGGGATTCAGCTCTGGGTGGGAAGGTAGAGGGGAGAAGGGACAGGCTCCCTCTGTTAGCCCACTCTTGCAGGTCCACTCCCTTGAAGAAAGTGTGAGTTCCCTATCTCCCAGAGGCCTCCATCTCTTGGTTATCTTACATTGGGGACAGAGCCACTGGGGGCTGTCGTCTTATCCCCATGCCTGACGGGCTCAGAGTGTAGCTCCCTGATCATTCAATCACTGTGACCAGTTTCCAGACATTTGGTTGACTGAGTCCAGCATTTTTGGTTAAATACAGCTAGGTAGGTGGTTGTTTTTAGAATGTCTTAGTGACTGTTGACGTGATCTTAGGGTTGTATAAAGAAGCCTCTTACACTGAGCAGCCAGATTTCCAGCCCCTACCACGGCAGCCAGAGTGGCTCGCTAAGCCCATCACCCCTTCTGCATGTGTTAGTTGCCTTTCCACTCTAGGAAGTTTTTCCTTCTTGTTTGTGTTTACTTCTTTGCATTGCCATGGGTGGCTCACGGTTTTCTGATTATTCTGCCATGACTGCATCACTGCCCTTATTGCCTGATGTCCCACTGTCCCCTCAAACCATGTCCCCATGCCTTCTCCTCCCATGAGGCCCACCTGACTTCTGGAAGACGCTGTGGGCTGATGCTTGGCCACTTTTCCCTGACCTCCACCTGGGATCAGCTGTTTGTCCCAGGAGCCCTGGTTCCTTGGAGAGAGGGATCGGGGGGCAGGGGGAAAGGTCTCCTTTTGCAGAATGTTCTGAGCATTGCTTTTCTGTCTCCAGCGACCTGTGTGCAGGCTTGATCGGCGGACTTGGCGTGACGCCAAGCGGCAACATCGGAGCCAATGGGGTTGCCATCTTTGAGTCGGTAAGGCCCTTCCCCACCCCAAAGGCCAAGTTCTGAGTTAAAGTCTGACTGGGTCGTCTGCATTATCCCCTGTCCTTGTTTGCCATGGCTGGACATGCTGCTGGCCCCAGGCCCCCTTGGTTGGGAGCCACCTGCTCTTGCCTCCAACTCATGTACTTTGCCTGGCTCTAGGTTCACGGGACAGCCCCGGACATTGCAGGCAAGGACATGGCCAACCCCACGGCCCTGCTGCTGAGCGCCGTGATGATGCTGCGCCACATGGGGCTCTTTGACCATGCTGCGAGGATTGAGGCCGCCTGCTTTGCCACAATTAAGGATGGAAAGGTATCCGCCATCTGTGGGAAGGGGGTGTGGTGTGCTGCTCAGCACTTCAGGGATGGGTGTCAAACAGAGGTTCGGCACACTTAAGGGGCTTCCTCAGTGAACTCCAGGGATGCAAACACCCAAGTGTGTTATCTGACATTCAGGTGTGGCAAGAAGAGCTGTAGGAGCAAGAGTCAAGGCCGCCAGGCACCTGCCATTGCAGCGATGTCTTACCAAAACTTACTTATTTAGAGGCAGAGTTACACAGAGAGAGGCTTCACTTCCCAGAGGGCTGCGTCAGCCAGGGCAGGACCAGGCTTGAAGGTGTGAGCCAGGCATTCCATCCGAGTCTCTCATGAAGGCACCCTGTCTCCCGAACAGGGTGTGTGTTAGCAGGAAGCAGGGGGGCCAGGACGCAGTCCAGGCATTCTGCTGTGGGAAGCTGGCAACCCAGCTGGTGACATAACCATTGGTAGCATGCCTACGCCTGGTTCTAAGATGTGAAGATGGTGAGCTCCTGGGTCCCTCACAGCAGGACCGGACACCTGTCATGTGTGCCACGCTGTGCTATGTTGGTGCTAAATATACATCTGTGATAACAAAAGTAGCACAGAAGTTTTACAGAAGGTTCACAGCTAAGACCAGAAGGCTACTCGATGGTCTTAGGTTCCTTCTGTAGAGCTGGGTGGATCCCTGCTGCTCTGTCAAGTAGAGCCTGCAGTAGGCACAGAGAGAGGAGTTACAGACCCTGTCCCAGGTCCCTTACCTCCCAACTGTCACAACCCGGGCCTCCCTGAGTCTGGCTTGACCCAGCCACCTCCTCCACTTCCGTGAGCAGTTGGACCCACAGACTGACGGGCACTGTGTATGTTTCTCAGTTAGAGGACAGACAAGGGGTATAGGTTCCGGAGAAGGGTCTCTGAGAGCTGACTCCGAGCCTGGGTCCTTAATGTTTTCAAGGACTGTGGGGGTAAGGGCAGAAGGTGCGATGTGCACCCCCATCCCTGCTGGGGTAGTAAACCAGGTCACACGTTCTGTGTCCTGCAGCCATTGGGCCGCTCCATCTATCCCTAGCACTTCTTCATTCTCCTCCCATTAGTGCTCATGTCTCAGCCTCCAACACCAGACAGGGACACAGCTGGAGCTTTCTAAGATTTGGAAGTTCCCCGAGGGCTGTATGAGGCCATGGTCTAGCTTTGCTTTCGCCTCAGTGTCCATAACTGGTAAATACACACTTAATGCCTGCGCTGTGCAAGAGGGAACCTTCTGGAAACTCCCTCTACTCCCCTTCATCGTGAGAATGCCTTATTGTGAGGAGTTCTGGGGACCGTGTGCCGGGGTACCCCAGTGCTCCTGGGGCAAGTGGCAGGGTGAGGTCTCCCTCTGTAGCGAGGAACTAATCTCCACACGGTCACCTGGCGTCTTGCAGGAGGCCTTAACCAAAAATGCCCTTGGCCTCATCTGCCATGTGTGTGTATTTTCTTTTTTCCCCAATGGCATATATATATATATATATATATTTAAAACTTTATACTTTTCCATTTGTTTACATATGTAATTTCACTTTTTTCCTTCCCTCAGAGCCTAACAAAAGACCTGGGCGGGAACGCCAAATGCTCAGACTTCACGGAGGAGATCTGCCGCCGAGTGAAGGATCTGGATTAGCCCGCTGTGGCCTCGCAGTGGTCGCCGGCCCTGGGCATGGGGTCCGCCTCCCTGGCGACAGTGCAGCCCCAGTCCTTTTAACCCCCCGGGCAGGAGGTGATGCCACTGGGCCCGCCCTCCAGGGCCCTTCTCCAGGCGCTTGTCTTATTTATTCAACGTCCATCTGGTGACCATTTTTCGGGAAAAGCTCTTAGGAGGACTGCACCGTGTGCTGTCGGTGACCATTTTACACTCTGTCCGCACAGCTTCTCAGCCGTACATCCCAGGATCCAGGATGAACAAGAGCAAACATCTCTTTTTTATTAAAGAAAAACCCTGGTTTCCTTGATTTGTGAAAACCAGAATGGAAATAAAAGGGAATATTGGCTTAATAGCACAAAATGACATTCTTTTTTAAAAAGGAAAAAAAAAAAAAAGCTAAGTGGGCCCGCTTGAGGCCTCTCCGCCGAAGTTCCCGCCCCAGGCAGTTGGCTTGCTTCAGTGACACAGAGAAATACAGAATTGAGCTTTGCGTGGATTTCCACGCAGGAATTAAGAGCTGCAGACCCAGGGGATAGCCCAGGGGTGGCTATGTTTATTTTTTTGTCAGGAAGATCCAATTTGTTACCTGGAGGTTTTGCTAGTCTTGGTTAGAGTCCCAGGCGAGCCTCCTCTTCCCCCGGGCATTGTCTTGAGCCTGCTGAGCTGGCGCAGCTTCTGAGAGTGTACTCTGCGGCTGCACCAGGGCACCTCGCTCGTGGCCTGGCAGAGGCCAGAGCCCTGTCCGCCCGAGCTGAAGCCCAGTACTGCAGCATGCTGGGAGCTGAACTCGGCTATTTTAGACCCCCGCAGCATGAACTGTTACCCTGTGGCCCTGCACCCGAGGCCGCTCTTGTCCACCCTGCTGTGCCCCAGGGGACAACCTTCTCCCACCCCTGGGTCTGTTTTAATGTTAGCCTAATCAGGTGTCACTGCTCATGTGTTTAAGTGGCTGCTTCCATTGTATCGGCTTGTGCTGGTTCTCAGCGGCTCTTGGGTTGGCAAAAATAAAGAATTCCCAAAGTGACTGACACTTGGTCTGCTCTCTGTGTTTCCCGCCCACATCCTTGGGTCGCTTGGTTGGAGAACGGCTGTTCCCCATGTTCAGAGTAATCCTGTGGCTAACACGTTTTACCATAGAGTTGCATGGGTTAGACACCTTCCTGCTCAGTGGACATGCACAGTCTGGGACTCCTTGGCAGTTGTGTTAAAAGGTTTAATATTCAAATGGCACATTAAATATAATCACATAAGCAGCAGCAGCAGCAGCTTTGTTAAGCATCCAGTCAGTTGGCAAGGTGGAGGGGTGCCAGGTCAGCAAGTTGGAACATGGGCAGAGTCCAGGCGAGTGGGCCGTGACTGCCTTCCCGTGGCCCTCTACCCCAGCCTCCCTTCAGCCTGCCGCTCACAGGATGCACCTGTTAGGGCAGCTAGCAGCTTGTTAAGTCTACCTGGAACCGAAGTCCCGTGTGGCCAGCCCTCCGGTTCCTTGAGGAGGAGCGGATCTCATCTGTCACCTGAACAAAAAAGTTGTACCAGCACAGGACTATCCCGGTGCCAGAACTGCTTGGGATTGGTCAGTTCCCGTGGGTGTGCGACCCAGCAGCACTGCACCCCAACCATGACATGAGGCACACTAGCCAGAAGCTTTCTGAGCCCAGATGGATGATAGATGGAGCCTGGAAACTGCTAGAATGGCCTGCATGTCTGTCCGCAGCAGGAGCCAGGAGCCCTGGTTACTGCTTCTGCTCCTGGTAAAAGGAATCAATGACATCTTTGTACTTCTCCAGGACTGTGAGCCTCTTCAACTTCATCGTGGGACCTAAAAGGGGAGAAGAAAGAAGCAAGTGAGGCTCGGACTCTACGTGGGAAGCATGTGACCAAGGGGCCTGGAGGAACCACCTTCTGCTGCTATGGCATGCCAGGGCACATGCAGGTGCTGGGAGGTCACTTTTGAGGATAGGTACCTGGTGAAGTGCTGTTGGCCGCACCCACCTTGTCCTGACTCACCTGTGTTCTGTTCTGCTCCCTGAGTGAACAGTGACGCTGGTTCCAGGCCCACCCCACCGCCCACTCCAGTCTGTGATGTTCAGGTCCCTTATGTGAAATACTGTAGTTAGTATTCACACATAACCCTCACATCCTCCCAGCTGCCTTGGAGCACAACGCAGGTCCCACATCAATAGTTGTCACAATATGTGAATTTTTTATCTGCAATGGGCTGCATCAGTGGCAGCGGAAGTGGTGGGTTTGGCAACCCAAACCTGATGACACTGGTGTAGTGCAATAAGCCTCTGCTGGTAGAGCCCACATCCCCCTGTGGGTACAGGATCGAGTCCTTGGCTGTTTCACTTTTGATCCAACTCCCTGCTAATGAGCCTGGGAAATTAGTGGAAGATGGCCCAATTGCTTGGGTGCCTGTACCCCTGTGGGAGACCTGGGAGAAGCTCTGTGTGCTGGGTGCAGAAGTGGAACCTTTGACTCCAGGGACCGATCTTCCCAAAGGAATGGAGCTGCTCGCCGTGGGAATCTGTACCATGTGGGGGATAACAAATGACAGGACATGTGGCTCCTTTGGACACTCCCATGACCCTAGAAGCTGCCTCTGGCTTGGGGAGCAGGGGCGTCCACGTGGCTGAAACGAGCCCTCCCCAAGTCACTCTCCTCAGCCTTGATTTCCTCTCTCTGGACATGAGTGGTTGGCGCACACGTTTAGTGCCTTGCTCACTGCACCATAGAATGAACAGCTTCAACACCAGAGCCGTACATCAGGTCTGCGTGCACCATCTCCCCTCTGGGTGACCTCACAGGGCAGTCAGCTCCTGTTAGCTCAGCCCTCAAGGGGTCATGGGGTATCACTGGAGAAGTCACATCCACCAACCCCGTGCCACGAGCACCCCATGGTGCTGCCGCTGAGAGCCCCCCTTTCGGCCAGCTGAGGCCACGCCAGAGCCTGCTCCAGATCCGTGCTCTGTGCAGGTACGCAGCAGCCTGGAGACCCCAGTCCCAACTGGAGCCAGGAGACCCCAGTCCCAACCCCTTCTGGCAGGGTTGTGCTGTCTGCCTGGGGGATCCGCCATCATCCAGCAGGGGAAGAGTCACAGAGCAAAAACAGTGAAATGTCGTAGGTTCCCATTTGGGGGCTCCAGCATCCGCAGGCCGCACAGCCACCAGCTCATGCACCCAGCAGGTCCTGCTGCCTGGCCTAGCTGCTGCCTCCCAGCCGCCCCTTCCTTTCCCACCACTGCCTTCCCGTGCACACCCCAGATCCCACCTACCCAGCTCTCCGCCAGAGATGGAGAAGTCCTTCTCCAGGATGGCCCACTTCTGGATGTGGTAGGGCCGGGCTGCTGCATTGCTGTTTACTCTGCGGATCCCCTCCTCGATGGCCTGGTACACGGCCTCGTCCCTCCGCCCCACGATCTCTGACACCGTGGTGGCCTTGCTGCCCACGCGCTGGCAGAACTCCACGGCCTGCTCACTGAGGTTGTCTGTGGGGTCCGAGGTGTCGGGGTCCAGAGTGCACTACAAAGGAGGATGGGAGGTTGAGCTGGGGTGGCCTGAGAGCCGGCAGCAAAGCCATGCGTACGTGTATGTGTGTATGTGCTATGTGAACAGTGTTCCAGAGAGATGGTTCCAGAAAGAGCAGCACGGGGCTCTGCATGGCCCCGCAGTGGTCCCGGAGAAGTCAGTGTGTAATGTGCAGGTGTGAACTGAAGGTGCTTACTAGTGTGTGATCTACAGGTGTGATCTGCCTCGTGCGAGTGCGAGCTGCAGGTGTGAATGGAGGTAGATAGAGATATGAGCAGAGTAATCACTGCGGCCTGCTGGGGAGGGAGGGAGTGGTGTGGGCTGTGGTCGCCCTGCAGTGCAGGCAGCACTGGCTGGCAGCAGTGACCCAAGGCCAAGGTGGAACATGGCTCCGGCTGACCCAGGCCCATGGCCCACCCCCCCACACACACTCACACACACCGGCTGCTCATCCCAACCAGAGCCCACCCCGCCTCTCCCCACCCCGGCGCACCTTCAAGGTAAGCAGCATGGACAGGAACTTCTTCTGGTCGCCGATGAGCATGGCGTTGCTGATGATAGGCACCTCGGTTTTCACCGCCTCCTCAATGGGCACCGGGGGCACGTTCTCACCGCCCGCCGTGATGATCAGCTCTGGAGAGGTGAGGCCACGCCCCAGGCACAGGCTATAGTCCAGGGGCCGCTGCTGAGCCCCAGCCCCTGGACACAGCCACAGCCTCAAAGATGGACAGTGGTAGCATCCCCCTACCCTGCATCCTCTGCAGCTCCTCATGCCTGCAGGGAACAGTCACAGCCCCCTATTCCCACCCGAGATGGAGGCTCACCCAGCCCCCACTTGAACTCTCACTAGAGTTCTTGCCTGCCCACCCTTCTCATCCACTGTTCCCTCTGCCAGCACCAGCTCCTCCCAGCCCACGCCTTGAACAGCTGGCATCGTTTCTTCTCCCTTCCTTCGTTTCATATCAATAGTTCCTGCACAGTCAGATATCTCCATGATAAAACCCCAACAGCGAAGACCAGGCACACAGACCCATGGAGCCAATCAGACCTGGCAAACTTCCAAGGAGGCATTTCAGGAAAGTCAGGAGAGAGTGGGCTGGCTGCTGCACGTATATAGAGAAAAGACCCTGGCCTCTCTTTGCGCTGTTTCTAAAAGCTCAAATTAGGTTTTCTGGCTGCTTATTAACCAATCCGGCGCAGGGACGCCAAATGTCCTCACCTGCCACTACAAAGGCAAACACTAGGTGGCGACCGCGGCTCACTCCAGCAGCCACCTGTAGCTCCCAAGCCAGACTGCCACCAGCCAGGCTGGCCCTGGGGGTTCACTGACCTGCACAGCCCAAGCAGGTGCACAGCCCGGGGCCCAAAGGCGGCAGGGATATCTCCTGCTCCTCCCTGAGGTGTCTGGCCTAACCCTGGCTGTTGTAGCCATCTCTCTCTACCCTTTCAAATAAATAAATGATTAAAAAAAAAACCCAAAATATATAGTGATGGGAAAGAATTCCCAGAGGCCCCCCACCCTACGCTGCTGACCTCAGGGACACTCACCCTTCAGGCGCCCGGTGATGTATAGGAAGCCGTCGGCATCCAGGCGGCCAGTGTCACCTGTGTGTAGCCAGCCCTCGGCGTCGATGGCCTCACTCGTCTTGTCTTCCATGTTCAGGTAGCCCATGAAGATAGTACGGCCCCACAGGCAGATCTCGCCCACGCCCTCGGCATCCTCGCTCACCAACTTCACCTGGCAGCCTGGCACCACCTTGCCCGAGCTGGCATGGGAGGGGCAGGGAGCTGTGGTCCCCGGGAGGTGCCTCTCTAATCTCTCAGCCATCCCCTATTGCCCCCTCCCAGTGTTTCCCAGTGGAATAACAGACTTAGTTCGTAGAGGAAAGGTTTGCCATGCCAGTTAGTGGGTGAGACTGCTCTGGGCTAGGCCCATTGGGGGCAGGCATTGAAATGCCACAGAGATGCCCTCCACCCCCACCCTCCATTCCCATGTCCACTTGGAGCCTGAACCATCAGTCATCCCAATGCACCCTTGCAAAAGGGAGGGAATGATGGAGTAAATTCCTTCCAACAGGAGACACCTGTTCAGCAGGTCTCTCTGAACTGCCCCCCACAGCTTTCACCCCCGGCCTCACCTGCAATAGGCAAGAGACTTAGCCAGGAGGGCAGAGTAGGCACTTGAGATGCTCTCACAGAGGGTTGGGAGACAAGGGGGTCCCTTAGGCAGATGGCAGCCTGGGGCTTCCTCACCTATAGAGCCGGTAGTTGTAAGGGCTGGACATGAAGTGGGGGCCTGTGCTCTCGCTGAGGCCGTAGCCGGCGTACAAGCGGATGTTGAGGCCGAGGAAGAAGTGCTGTGTCTCGGCTGTCATGGGTGCTGCCCCGTAGAAACTCTTCTGGCACTTGGCGAAGCCCAGCGCCTGGCGCACCTTGGCCAGCACCAGGTAATCTGCCAGTCTGCTCGTGAAAGGCCTCAGCTCGCTAGCAGAAGAGGGGCAGGGACGGTTCCAGGCTCAGGGGAGAAAGGCAGCAGAGGGTTCCCACACAGCCATCTGGGTATCTTCTCTGACACTGGTACCAATGCCCAGCCCCTTGTTATGTGTGTGCAATGTTGGTCGTGCCCATGAACATGCATGCTGATGGAGGCATGTGTACATGTGTGTGCAGGTGACTAGGGCACACAGGGACATGCACGGATGACCCCATCGGAAGCCTGCAAGTGCTGTGTTCCTGCATGTTTCCCTGACAACTGCATGTGGCAGAGCACACATGTGCAAGGAACCACACACCACAATGCAACCCTTCTACCCTGAAGCCAGGCCAAGCTCTGGGTAACATGGAGTCTGAAAAAGCAATCAGTGGGGGACTGGCCTTGTGGCACATCAGTCAAAGCGTCCACGTGCAACATGGGCATCCCATATGAGCACTCATATGAGTTCCAGCTGTTCCACTTCTGATCTAACTCTCTGCTAATGCACTTGGGAGAGCAGTGGAAGATGGGTCAAATGCTTGAGCCACTGCACCTGCACGGGAGACCCAGAAGAAGCTCCTGGCTCCTGGCTCTCTAGACTAACCCAGCCCTGGCTATTGCAGCTATTTGGGGCGTGAACCAGCAGATGGAAGATCTCTCCGTAATTCTGTCTTTCAAATAAATAAATAACTTTAAGAACCCTGCAAAAAGCAATCACAGGTGACAGCTGATGGATCCTGTGGGATTCAGGGGTGCCTAGGAAAGCTAAGGTCCCAGGTCTGTGGTCCCCTTCCCAGCCACTTACAACTGATAGGAGTGCTTCTCAGCAAGTGGAGCAAGTGAGCCCTCCCAGGCAGCATCCCAGGACGAGGGCAGCAGGAAGAGGGTGAGGCCCAGGCTTGTCTGTGGATGGGAGTCTTTGCATGGGGTATCCTGAACTGAGAGGCCCAGGGAACAACAAGCCTGGTGGCTGCCCCAGACCTCAAGTCTCGGGTCCTTCTCACCTGTGGGGGCAGTTGAGGTTCTGCTCCAGGGTCACTGACATGGCCCACAGCAGCATCTTGCGCCGGATGAAGCCGGACTGAGCCGCCACCTCTTGGATGCGCTCCATGATTTTCTCCCACACGCGGGGCACCCCCATGTGGGACGTGGGCTCCACCTCCCGCAGGGTGTTCACCAGACTTCCCTACTCAGAGCCAGGAGGGAAGCAAGGCAAGGTCAGGGCCAGCTGCATCCGAGAGTGTGCTGTGTACAGCCCATGCACACCCCTTTCCACCCCGATATCATCCCCGTGGACTTGCCGGGGCACCCCAGCCCCTCCTCAGTCCTGCCTGTGCTGAGGCTTTCTCTCTGACAGAGCACAACCTCTCTGGTTCCCCAAGCTGCATGGGCTTTAGCGGCAGAACGAGCCAAACTCGGGGGTCCCTGAGATGCACAAGGGAAGCTAAAAGGAGAGTGCAGAGGGTGCATTTGGTGCAGTGGGAGAGTGCCCAGGAGCCCGTATCACTTCCGTTTCCTGCTGCAGCCAGCATGCGCCCTCAGAGCCAGCAGGGGTTGAGACCCTGCCAGCCACAGGAGAGACCCGGATGGAGTTAGTTCCTGGCTTAGGGCCTCAGCCTGGCCTAGCATGGCTCTTGGGTAGGTGGGAGACTTTGAGGGAGCAAACCAGCAGATGCAAGATTCTCTCTTTTTTTAAAAACCATTTTTTAAAAATGAAATCAGACAGATGTCCCAAGACAGATGCAATCTGCAAGGTTGCGAGTCAAGGAGGGGCGTGGCCACCAGATGACCTCCCATGGCCCTCTCTCAGGACCGCCCCCAGTCCATGCACACCCAGGGTCCGCACCCCTACTTGGCAAGGGAGCAGGCTGACCTTCAAGGCGTCGGGCTCAGCAAAGCAGACCTGGGCACCCCACTGGATGCCTGTCCACAGGTCGTAGATCTGGGCAGCGATGTGGCTGAGGGGCAGGTAGCTGACCACCACCTCCTGTTGTACCTCTGCCGGTTGGATGTCACCCGCCTGGCTGCCATAGCGTGCTGTCCACGTGATCTGGAGCAGGGCAGGGGACACAGGAGGCATGGGCTGAGCTCACAGTTGCCTTGGGGACTTGGGGCTACTTGTTCAGAAACTGTGCCCAACTCTGGCCCAGGGTCACGCCTCTCCTCTCCCTACCCCCATCCCTGTCGCTGGACCCAGCCTGACCCCACTGTGAGCCCTCTGCCCAGCTGGGTATTCGTCCTACATTGTCCTGACTCAGCATCACGCCCTTGGGGTTGCCCGTGGTGCCTGATGTGTAGATCAGCACGCAGCACTGGTTGGGCTGCTGGGCCTCGATGATGGAGTCCAGGGCCTCTTCGGGCACACCATTCCCCAGCTCCATGAACTCCTCCATCTGCAGTGGGCCGCCAGCACGGAGGAGAGGATGAACAACAAGGAACTGGACAGCTTTCACCCTGCCCCCCACCTGCCACCACCACCTCCATCCCCAGCCTGGCCCACTCCAGTACCGTGTATACGTTGGCCATCGGCTTAGGAGGCAGCTCTCGGTATATCACCACTGCCTTCAGATGTGGCAGGTTCTTCCAGATCTGTGTGGACAGGAAATGCATATTGCAAGGCCAAGGTCACTCCCTGAAAGGAACCCCCATCAACCAGGGCTGTCCTGCTGCACAAGCGGGAAGAGGTCAACGATTTGGGGTGAGGGGAAAGCCCTACCTCTGAACTTTGACCCACAGCACAGTTGCCACCTGTTCCCCACCGAAAGAACTTGGGAACAGTGGGGATAGGGACAGGCAGGGACAGGGAAGACCTTCTATCATAGCCTAATCTCAGGGATGCAGGCCTGGGTGAGCGCAGCCAGGACCCAGCACACGTGAGCCTCGGGTAGCTGAGGGGACAGAGTCCCTAGTTTAAGTTCTGGCTGCTCTGCTTCTGATGCAGCTTCCTGCTAGTACCTCTGGGAACGCAGCAGAAGATGGTCCCTGCCACCCGCATGGGAGACCAGGATGAAGCTCTTGGCTCCTGGCTTCAGCCTGGCCCCATTCCAGCCACTGCAGCCATTTAGGGAGTGAACCAGCAGATGGAAGAGTTCTCTCTCTCTCTTTTACTATTCATGTAATTTTGCCTTTCAAAAAAAGAGTTAGGTTTTTTCAAGAGTTAGGTTCATTTTTATTGGAAAAGCAATCAGACTAACAAAGAGGAGAGACAGAGAAAGATCTATCTACTGGTTCACTCCCCAAGTGACCGCAACAGCTGGAGCTGAGCTGATTTGAAGCCAGGAGCCAGGAATTTCTCCACGTGGGTGCAGGGTCCCAAGGCTTTGGGCCGTCTTCGACTGCTTTCCGAGGCCACAAGCAGGGAGTTGGATGGGAAGTGCAGCAGCCAGGACACAAACTAGTGCCCATATGGAATGTGGGCACTCGTAAGGTGAGGATTTAGCTGTTTAGCCATTGTGCCAGGTTCTGAACTAAATAAATCTTCACACACACACGGTGCACTCTGAGTGATTGTGGGCTGTTTAAGCAACATAGCAATGTGTATGGGGCTACAGCCCTTGCGGACGTGAGACGGAGTCAGCAGCAGGAAGGAGGCGATGGTCCTGGGCTCCCCTGGGGGTTGCTACAGTCCAGTCCTGTACGCAACTTACACACAGCTCACAGAACGCCTAGAGGGACTCTTAAGGATTCACAGGCCTTCCTGTGGTGTCAGCGGGAAGAGCTGCTGTGCTCTGCTGCCTGGGCAGTCAGGACAGCTGCCTGCTCAGGACCGGCGTCATGTTTTAGCAATGGTTCTCCATCTGTAATCGGCTGTGTCTCTATGGAGACGGAGGGCAGGTTTCACACCGCCATGGCTGTATTAGTTGAGACCATATGCTAACAGGCTGGCTGACTAAGCGATGTGGACTAAACAGAAAACCAACGTAAAAAAGTAAGTCAGATGAGATTGGGGGAGTGGAGGAGGATGACTGAGACCTTGGTCAAACCAGATGGGACAAACAGCAAGCAAGCACCCACAAGGTGGATTTCTAGACCGTTCTGTCAGTTTGGATGGAAGCGTAGGACCCAACCACAGGCTGGCTGCAAGAAGCTCGAAGTGCAATGAAAGAGATAAAAGGCAGGGAATCCAGAGTTGGCATTGTGGTATTGTGGAGTAAGCTGCCATTTGTGGGGCTAGCATTCCATATCAGAGTGCCGGCTTTTAATATTGGCTGCTCCACTTCCGATCCAGCTCCCTGTTGATCGATGTGCTTGGCTGTTGTGGCCATTTGGGGAGTGAAACAGGTGGAAGATTTCATTGTCACTCTTTCAAATACATCTTTTTTTTTTTTTTTTCAAAAGATCAAAGAGCACCAAAATACATTCATGCAAATATTAATCATAAATCTAGAGCATGCATTCACTAGAGGGAAGCAGGCTGGGAACAAGAGGTATGGGCAGGGATAAAGAGGACCAGTTCTGGGCACACAGTGGCATAGAGGATAATCCTGTGCCTGTGGCTCCAGCATCCCATATGAGCACCAGTTCGTGCCCCAGCTGTTCCACTTCCCTTCCAGCTCCCTGCCTGTGGCCTATGAAAGTAGCAGAGGATGGCCCAAAGCCTCGGGACCCTGCATCTGCAATGGAGACCCAAAAGAAGCTCCTGGCTCCTTGCTCTGGATCCACTCAGCTCCAGCTATTGCGGCCATTTGAGGAGTGAAGCATAGAATGGAAGATCTCTCTTGTTTTCTCTCTGTAACTCTGCCTTTTAAATTAAAAATAAAAATAAAAAAAGGAGGGGGAACCAAAAAGGCCATTTCTTGATAAGCTCTCAATGGAGAAGAATAACCCAAGCAGGTATAGACCCAAAACAGGGCTCCGAATACATGAAGCAGGAACCCACAGAGCCGAAAGGAAAAGGAAATCACAGAATTGCTGGGACAAGGAGGCAGAAGGCCCCTGGGGCAGACAGGGCTTCAGCGACATAGGAACACTGTATCACCAGCAGTAGCCATCCTGATCTGAGAGTCACAGAATGTTCTAGACACTAGGTGCAGAGTCTGCATTCTTTTAAGTAACCTGGGGTGTTCATGAGGCTCCTCGGAGAAGTCTCCTTCCTGCTCCATGCCTATGGCATCCTGGGCTTCAATTGTGGCCCTGCTGTCCTCGGCCTGCACCGCTGCTCCCGGCTCCAGCCCAGGGAGGGAGGTCTCCTATGGCTTCCTCCCACCTGGGGATTTTGTCTTAGGGAATGAGTTTAACTGTGACCTGCGCCTGCCACCGGGAGGAATTTCTTGTTTTTTAAAAAATTATTTACTTGGGGCTGGTGTGGTGGCTCAACAGGCTATTTCTCTGCCTGTGTCACTGGCATCCCACATGGGCAGCAATACATGTTCTAGATGCTCCGTTTCTGATCCAGCTCCCTGACAATGCAACTGGGAAAACAGCAGAGGATCACTCTGCTGATTTGATCACTCAGATCCTTGGACCCCTGCATCCACATGGGAGATCCATAAGAAGCTCCTAGCTCCCAGCTTTGGAGTGGTACAGCTCTGACCATTGTAGCCATTTGAGGAGTAACCAGTGGATGGAAGTTCTCTTTCTCTCTCCTCTCTCTGTAACTCTTATTTTCCAAGTAAAATAAATCAATTTTTTAAAAGTATATGTATATCTATTTGTTTTGAGAGGCAGAAAGATTTGGGGAGAGAAAGAGAGAGTACTTCCATCTGTTGATATCCTTCCCAAACTCCTTACAACAGCTGGAGCTGGGCCAGGCAGAAGCCAGGAGCCAGGCGCTGGGAGCCAGGAGCTCCGTCTGGGTCTCCCATGTGGGTGGCAGGGACCCAAGAACTTGAGCCATCACCTGATACCTTCCAGGGTGCACACTTGCAGGAAGCTGGAATCAGAACCAGAAGTTGGATTGGAACCCAGGCCCTGTAGTCAGCAGCCATGGGTATCCCAGGCAGGGCCCTGACCCCAGCCTCAGGGCATCCGGTGCTGTGTGGATAGGAATCAATGGCCCAGGTTTGCTTCCTGGAGGGTTTACAATGTGTCTGTCACAGATGATGGCTGGCACCTGCTCCAGCTCCTCTGCCCAGCTGGGTTCCAAAGTCCCAGAAGTGATGACTCCTCCCGCCCCCAGGCACGCCTGGGAAGGCTGCGTCCTGGTTGGCAGCTCCAGGTAAGCAGCCCAGTGCTGGGCCTGGGAGGGACTCAGGACGCATCCATGCTCTTGCCAATGCTTGGCTGTCTCTCCAAGATCCCATGGCACCTGCTCTGAGCGGACTCACTTCCCAGCTTGCAGAGAGCTCCCTTAATACATCCATCTGAGATGCCAGAGTCCCACTCATGCCTCCATGGCACTCTGACACCTACAAGGGACCCTGCACCCTCAGCTCTCATGCCCCTAAATCTAGGGGAGACCCCCTGTCCTAATGGAAAAACCATGGTGGGGGTAGGAAGTACTGACCAGAAATCCTAGCTCAAGGCTGTCACTCACTTCTTGAATTTTCTGACTTGTCAGATGGGGAGGCAATGCCGCCCACCTTGCTGGCTGTGTGTGTTGGGCAGAGTGTAAGGGAGAGTGAGGGGAGACCCTGGCTAGGGGGCTGGGGACTGCAGGGGGCGAGTATCCACGAGGGCTTCCCAGGTCTGACCCAAGTCCGTTCTGTCCCCAGACCTTCAGAATTTTCTCCAGTTGCTTCTGTGTGTCCACCACAATGACGTTGGCGCGGCTGTCACGGGCGATGTACTGACAGGCCTCGGGGGAACTGGTGGTGTAGAGGCCAGTGACGATGCCACTGTCGGGGAGACCCACGAGGGTTAGGGGTCTCGGCAGGCACCCTGGGCCCACCCTCTTACCCCAGCCCTCACGAGGGCCCCTGCGACCCAGGCAGAGTCCCATGGAGCAGGGCCCAGGAGAGAGCTGCGAGGAGAAGGCATGGAGTGGGGGCCCACCTCCCAGCAACTGGAGTCCCCACCACTCACCCTGCAAACACCGTGCCCACGGCCGAGAAGAACCACTCTGGGGAGTTGAAGCCCAAGATGGCTACGCTATGGGCTCGCTCCAGTCCGAGCTTCAGGCCAAAGCAGACAAGTCAAGTCAGCCAGGGCAGGGAAGGAGCCCTGCCCATGCTGCCCACCAAGTGTCCTGCTGGTTCATCTCAGGAACCAGTCACCCAACAGCCCCAGCCTTGCCCCCGCTAGAGTGACTCCCCAGCAAAGGCCAGCGTGGAGCGCCTTGCACAGACCCACCCTTCTCAGGGCAGGACCCAGCACGCGGCCAGGAGCAGCCTTGACAGTGGTCCTTCCAAGGCCACCCCACCCCACCCGCCCGCTCACCTTCAGGAAGCTCTTGGCAGCTTTGCGAGCAATCAGGTAGTACTGTAAGTATGTGATGTGCTCCCACTTGTCCTGGCGCTTGAATCCCAGGGCGCTGAGGTCCCCGTACTTGTCCAGGGCCTCGTAGAACATCCGATGTACGGTGTAGGGGATCTGCGAGCAGCTGGGGTCCATGCGCAGGCGCACCCGCCCATCGGCTCGCGTGGTCCACAGTGCTTCCTCTGTGGAACAGAGACCACGACCTGAGTCAGGCCATCCTTGGAGGAGATGGGGGTAGAAGTGGACCCTGCTCTGGTCCAGTCCTGTGATGCTGACAATGTCTCGGGCACTGGCAGTGGGGAGCTGGCAGACAGTCAGGGGTTGGAGAAGGTTGGAGGATTACCTGGAGGAAGTGTGACTTGGCTTCACGGGATGAAGGAAGCTCAGAGAAGCAGAAGAGGCGAGAGAGAGGCTGAAGGGAGGGGGGAGGGACCCTGGATGCATTGAGACTCCTAGTCTCTCCCTGCTGGAATGGCCCCCCCGAGGGTGGGACGATTATGGATGTCACAGCATACAGCTGGTGCTCCAGAAATGCACACTTAATCTCGGCTTCCCCTGTCCAGGTTCCCTGCTTTGTTTTATTTTAAACAAAGGAAGCTATTTAAGAGGTGGGGCTGGCCCTGCTGGACACTGGAGGTCTCTTTTCCCTGGGGCGGGGTACTGGTCCTGTGAGGACGGACAGGAGAGCTAAGGGTCAGGGCCTCTGGGGCTGCACTGCCACCTGCTGGCTGGGCCCAGGTAATCCTCTTGCTCCAGCCCTGTGACTCTGAGGGGCACTGGTGGCAGTCAGGCGCTGGGGCAGGGGTGGGAGAGTTTGTTCCTCCCTGCGCGTTGGGAAGGTCAGGGGACTTACCAAACTGGGCAAAACCCTGGGCTCTGAGGCAGAAGGCAGGGCAGCTTGCAGGCCTTTCAGGCAGGCCAAGGGAGGGCTCACTTGAGCAACTGTCTCAGCCAGAGCAATGGACGCTCCCTGGCGTCCACTGACCAGAGACTCCCCCCTTCATTCCTCAAGACTTCCCCAAAGCCTTTTCCTGCTCTGGCACCCCCAAGCTGGTGAGCCCCCAGGGAGACACAGCACCTGCACCTCAGCCTAGGCCAGGGACCTAAAAAGAGGCGGAGCTGTGGAGGTTCAAAACCTTGACCCAGACACTCCCTGCTGGGTGAGGCGGCCTTGACCGGCCCTTCCCCTTCCCGCCAGACTGTGACTTAAGTGGGGTCAGGTTTGGGACACATGTGGAGGTGGCGTCCCACTGCACACACCTGCCTCCAGGGAGGTGGCCGGTGACCACAAGTTTATCATGGTGCCCTTGGCAACCACCCTAGAGAAAGGTTATGGCAGCTTCCCACCAAGGGATATAGATATCAAAGGTGGAGCCAGGAAGGCGGCCCTAAGCCCAGCAGTTGGGAAGCTCGAGTCCCACATCAGAGTGTCCCAGGGTTTTAGAGCACTCATGACTCCAGCTTCCTGTCAGTGCGGACCCTGCCTAACTGCAGGTGGCGATTGGGTCCCTGCTACCCACGCACGTGCAAGACCCAGGCTAGAGTCTCTTGACATCAGCCCGGTCCAGTCCTGGTTGCTGGGGGTGTTTGGGAGTGAACCTGCCCATGGGGAGAACCATCCTTCACCTCCCCGTTGTTCATATTAATAAATTGTGTCTTTAGAAACAAAAGCATAACTGATGAAATGAGAAGCAACACGTGTTCATCTGCGTGAGGAGTTTGACCCAAGCTCTGACCCGGGGCTTCCAGAAAGCAGCACCCGCGTGGCAAAGCGAGAAGCCATGTGTGGTCTGACTCTCTTTCTCCAAAGCCAGAGCCCTGGCTGCCTGGGCTCTGGGCAAGGAGTAGTGACCATACAACGGACAGCCAACCTGGGTCTCTCTGGAGTGAAGGAACGAACCAACACCTGGGCCATTCTGGTGGTTGGAGTAACAAGAAGCAGGAGAAAGCAAATTCCGAACATTCCAGAAAAGGTGGAATCAACAGGTCAGCTTATTTTGGTGCACAACGACAACAATAAAAAAGTGAAATCCACTTTTTTTTAAATAGCATATGCTTTCCATGAGCTTCAAGAAACCTCTGTATTTACAGACATTCCGAGGTTGTTTGGGCACCAAAATCAGATTACCTTTGAATTCCGTTTGTGCATTGACATATTAACCCCCTAACTTGGTGTAAGTCTGTGAGCTGCCTTGCACAGTGCCCACTGGCAGACGGTCCCTTCCCTGGGAAGGGGCTGCTCCCTTGGCCTGGACCACAGAGGTAGCTTTCTCCCATGGGCACTCCTAGAAGCTTAGGTGACAGCACCTCCATCTCCTGCCAGGTCGCTAAGTAGGGCAGAGGCAGGTTTGAATCATGAGCTCTATTTGTAGAACCTTCCCTCCAGTGTGGAGTTGGACACGGGTCCTTGGCAGGCGCTGGGCCTTTCCATCTCTCACATAGTGAACAATTCAAAACCATGCTGAAACTATGCATCGTGGTCTAAGAAATACACTTCGGGTTATGGAAGGAGGTGGGTTTGTGGGTAGTTTTTTTTGGTTGTTTTTTGGGTTTCTTTGCTACCAAAAATAGTTGAGGGTGGGGCTCAAGATGCAGCATTAGCCGCCAGCCCTGGAATATTCTGAAAGGTTGTGGATGAGTCAGCATGATGGTCACTAATATGCAGCAGTCAAAGATGAATGGATGAAGGGTCGTGGCAGCTACAAGGAAACCAGGAGGGATCTTGGTTTCCACCAAGGCACAGGTGTGATTTTCTAGCCTCCGTGTGTTTCCTGGCTTTGGTTTGGATTCCAGACAGCCTGCTGTTCCTGCAAAGCTCAGGGGAGCTGCAGCGCCGCCTGGTGACTGTGGTAAGCAACTGCATTTGGGCTCCGCAGGCTCACTAAAGGGAGATTGTAAGTGGCACAGAAGGTAAGGTGGGCGGAGCAGTGGTGCAGAGAGTTAAGCTGCCACCTGCCATGCCCGCATCCATTATGACATCCCCTGGAGTGCCCACTGCTCCGCTTCCAGTCCAGTTTCCTCCTGCTCATGCTCCTGGGAAAGCAGCAGATGATAACACAAGTGCTTGGGCCCATGTACCCATGGGGGGGACCTGGAAGAAGCTCCTAGCTTTTGCCCTCACCCTGGCCTAGTCCCAGGCTGTTGTCCTTTTGGAGAGTGAACCAGCAGATGGAAGATCTTTTTCTTCCTCTCAAAAAAAAAAAAAAAGGGCCCGGCGCGGTGGCGCAGTGGTTAAGGTCCTCGCCTTGAACGCCCGGGATCCTATATGGGCGCCAGTTCTAATCCTGGCAGCCCCGCTTCCCTTCCAGCTCCCTGCCTGTGGCCTGGGAAGGCAGTTGAGGACGGCCCAAAGCTTTGGGACCCTGCACCCACGTGGGAGACCCGGAAGAGGCTCCTGGCTTCGGATCGGCATAGTATCGGCCGTTGCGCTCACTTGGGGAGTGAATCATCGGACGGAAGATCTTCCTCTCTGTCTCTCCTCTCTGTATATCCGCCTTTCCAATAAACAAATAATAAAAATAAATCTTTAAAAAAAAAAAGGCATGCAAAGTCCTGCCTACATTAACTAGCTCAACTTACATAGCTGTTCTTTTTTTTTTTTTTTAAGCCAGTATTGTGGCTCTAACAGCTAAGCCAATACTTGCTTCTTTCTTTTTTTCTTTTTTAAAAAATTTATTTGGGCCCCGGTGCCATGGCCTAGCGGCTAAAAGTCCTTGTCTTGAACGTGCCAGGACGCCATATGGGCACCAGTTCTAATCCCGGCAGCCTGCTTCTCATCCAGCTCCCTGCTTGTGGCCTGGGAAAGCAGTTGAGGACGGCCCAAAACCTTGGGACCCTGCACCCACGTGGGAGACCTGGAAGAGATCCTGGCTTCTGGCTCCGGATTGGCGCAGCTCCAGTGAATCATCAAACGGAAGATCTTCCTCTCTGTCTTTCCTCCTCTCTATATATCTGACTTTGCAATAAAAATAAATAAACCTTTAAAAAAAGATTTATTTATTTTTATTGGGAAAACAGATTTACGGAAACAAGTAGAGACAGAGAGAAAGATCTTTCATCTGCTGGTTTATTCCCCAGATGGTCGTGACAGATGGAGATGAACCAATCTGAAGCCAGGTATCAAGTACTTCCTCCAGGTTTCCCACACAGGTGCAGGGTCCCAAGGACTTGGACCATCCTCTGCTGCCTTTTCAGACCACAAACAGGGAAGGAGATAGAAAGTAGAGCAGCCAGGACATGAACTGGTGCTCATATGGGGTGCCAGCACTTGCAAGGGAAAGATTAACCAATTGAGCCATTGCATCCAGCCCAGCAATTCTACAACAGCTGCCATTTCCAAACATGCTGTGCATCATAAAGAGAGGTGTCAAAAGAAATAAATTTAAAGGAAGAAAGAAAAAAATGACTGTTCCAGGGCGGTGACTCCAATCTCAAGGAGGTGACAGAAAGGAGTGAGGACTCGGGATGACTGCAGGGGAATGGCAGGATGTGGGGTTATCCAAAGGGGTGGCCGCTCTGTCTGTCTGCCTCTCAAATACATAAAGAAGTATATTGTAAAAGCAGGCAAGTGCTGGGGCTAGTGCCCCATTTATGCAGCCTGCATCCCACCCTGGCGTCCCTGGGTTTGGCTCCTGCCTCCCACTTCCTGTGAACACACAGCCTGGGGTTGCTCTGTTGGATCAAGGAAGTGGGTCCTTGTCACTCACAGGGGAGACTCAGATGCAGTTCCCAGCCCCGGTCACTGCAGGCATGTGGGGCATATGGGAATTCTCTTTCCACTTCCACTCCCTCTCAAATAAACACAAAGCTGCTTGTGACACCCAGGTTCTCCCTGCTACCCTGGGGCCTGCGGTACCCCCGCAGTAGCCCCTCCTCTGGTCCACTGCTGCCCAAGTCCTGGGCTGGGGTTCAGGCTAGGGGCCCTTGGGCAGCCTTGAGTTTTCTCCACAATCCCAGGGCGGCCCGAGCAACCTGCCTTGGCCCACATCTGACCGATTCTCACCAGCCATAGGGTGCCGCCCACATCACAGCCTCTTTGGCAAGCTCTACACAGAGGGCCTATGAAACTGCCCCAGCGTTCACACACAGCTCCTTCCTGCCTTATAGCCCACCTCGCTGCACCCAACTCCCCCGCACCTCCTGCCTAGTGGCTTTGTTCAAACTGGGGCTCCACCCATGTGCC